AGATTTGAAAAATCTTTAACTATTATACATATATGTGTATATAATTAGATAGATATTAGAATGTAGTATTTCTACAGAACATGGGGCCAAAATACACTACTCTGCTGCCCAAGCACTCCATAAAATTGTGTCCCATCTTTACTTGAAGTTTCTTCTAGTCTTTCGTTCTTTCTCCTATTTCTTTTTCCAGGTTGCTTTTATAGAAATGCAGTCAGCACCCTGGCTAAAAGATTTAATTCCAGGATTAGACAATTAAGAATCCCTAGAAATCGTTAGCAAAGAAAGAACAAACGATTTTGGTTCCAAACTTTTTTGTTTCTTCCTGATTCAAATATATGTCAATCATTAAACTACCATAAAGTAGCAGTTGACAAGAAAGGAAGCAAACAAGTAGAAAACTAATTTCGAAGGATGCAAGATGTGCAACACTCGAGGTCCTAAGTACAGTAGTGGGGCACTGCTGGGTTGCACAGCTAAGCCTGAGTTAGCAAAAGGGAAACTATAAAGAGGAGGAGATGCTTGATCTGCATCACGAAGCAGTAAAGATTCATAAGATGTCCAAGCAGAGAAAACAGGTGCAAGGTATGGAGAAGAGGAAGAGGATGGAGCAAAAACCTGTAACTGGAGACACATCAATGACAGGTTGGAGACCCTGATAGTTGAGCATGCAAGCTTCCTGAGATTAATCTAGCTTTACCATTCACTCACTAGCTGTGATGTTGGGCAAGTGCCTATTTCCTCCAAGTGCCTGTTTTCTGTCCATAGAGTAGCGATTTTTATTGCACGCATCCCACTCCATTGCAATGGCCCCAACTATATTCTTCCAACATGCTAGGAAACCTCTTTCCTAGGGCTTTGTGCCCTTGCTCTACTCTACCATGACGGCCACATGGCTTGTTTACTTTGGGATTTCTCCTATTCTCACTTTTTTAGTAGCTTTATTGAGGTATAATTGATAGGACATATTTGAAGTATAATTTATGACATGTTTTGATATATGAATACACCCACTAAAGTATAACCACAGTCAAGATAACATTTCCATCACCTCTAAAAGTTTCCCTGTGTCATTTTCTAGTCCTTCCACCCGCCACTCCTCCACATTCACAGACAGCAACTCATCTACCCTGTTATTAGGTTTAGATTACATTTTTCAGAAACGTTTGGAAATATAATTGTACAGTATGTATGTTTTGCCTAGATAATTTCATTCCACGTAAATGTTTGATATTCATCTATGTTTTGGGTCTATCAATAGTTTTTTTTATTTGGAAGTAGTATTTCTTTGTATGGGCTTATCATAACTTGTTTACTGGTTGATAGACATGTCGGTTGTTTTCAGTTTGGGGCTATTTTGAATATAGTTCTTTTGAACATTCAGATAGAAAACTTTTTATTGACGTATGCATTCATTGCTCCTTGTAAATATCAAAGAATAAAATGGCTGAGTCATATGAGAAGTATATGTTTATTTTTTAAGAGACTGCCAAATTATTTTCTAACATGATGTACCATTTTATACTCTGACTAGCAGAGTACAACAGTTCCAGATGCTCCATAGCCCTGCCATCACTTAGTAAGGCCATTTTTAAGAAATTTCTGACGTAATGGTATCTCATTGTGGATATAAAATCATTTCACTAATGATTAATGGTGTCAAGCATATTGTCATGTGCTAATTTTCTATTATTATGTCTTTGGAGAAGTGTCTGTTCAAATCTTATTATGAAGTTGTTTTCTTATTATTGAGTTCTGAGAGTTACTTATATATTTTGAATCCAATTTTTCATTAGATGTATAAACTACAAATATTTTCTCCTAGGCTATGACTTTTCTTTTCATTTCTTTAATGTGTATCAGAGATCAGAAGAATAAAAGTTCATAATTTTGAAGAAATTGAATTTATATTTTTTAATGGATCATAATTTTGGTGTTATATTTTAAAAATATTTGTCTAACTAAAGATCACAAATATTTTCACCTAAAAGTGATAGTATTCTCTGGAAGCTTTATATTTTTAGGTTTTATATTTGAGATGTGAGTCTTTGATGATTGTGAGGTTGTTTTGATTTTCTGGTGTGTATTTTGATGAGAGATATGAATCAAAGTTCTCTCTTTTTTTTTTTTTTTGGTTGTGGATATCCAATTTGCTGATAACACAATCCTTTTTCCATAGAATAGGATCTGTTCTTGAGTTGAAAATCAGCTAAGTATATGTGTGTTGGTCTATTTCTGGACTCTCTATTCTTTTCCGTTGATCTGTTTGTCTATCATGGTGCAAATATCTCATTGTCTACATTATTGTAACTTTAAAGTAAGTTTGAAGTCAGGTAGTATAAGTCGTCAAACTTTTTTTCATTGTAATAGTTGTTTTAGGTATAAGTAGTTTGTACTTCTATATGAATTTTATAAGGAGTTTGTCAATTTCCATGAGATAGCTTGGGATATTCATTAGGACTATTTTGGAAATATAGATTGATTTGAGGGGAATTGACATGTTAATATTGTGTCTTTTGATTTATGAACATGGTTTCTCTCTCCATTATCTTAGATTTCTATATTTTTCTCAGCAAAGTTTTATAGCTTTCACTATATAAGTCTTACACATATTTTGCCATAGGTATTACTAAGTGTCTTATATTTTCGGTACTAGGTATTTTTAGATAAAATTTCTGATTGTTCATTGCTAGTACAAAGAAATATAAATGATTTTTATGTTTGACTTTTTTCCTTCAACATTACTAAACTCACTTAATAGCTCCAGTAGCTATTTTGTAGATTACACAGGATATTTTAAATACATGATCATGTCATCTGCATTCATATTCATGAGGGATATTATCTCATAGTTTCCTTTACTTTTAATATCTACCTTTGCTTTTAGTTTTAGAGTAGCGCTGAACCAACAGAACTTTAGAAGTAGTCCTTCCTCTTCATTTTTCCAAAATAGTTCA